TCAGGAACCCATGCTTGCCTTAACAGGCGACTAACGGAATCGGGTCAGGCTTGCTGACTTGGTTGATGCATGTCATCGATCCCAATTACGTGGATCAATGCTCATGATATCAATCACTGGATTGTCTGGTCCAGACTCAATTATTTACAGACCGCCGTCATATAGCTGGAATATTGCTGAGTGTGGCGTTGAACAACAAACAAACAAACAACAACCAACAGTGATTGACTCCCCTTTATACCTCTAAAGAAAAGTGTATTTGGGAGGGTATGTAAACAGTGCGTCTAGCGCAATGGAAATCGCTAACAATGATAACCCCCTTCTTTCTTCATTTGGAAAGTTAGATTTAATCAAATATCTTACAAAATGTTAAATACTCTTAATACAGATCAGAGGACATGTTTAATATCTTATTTATGCTCAGCTCCCTTTAATCAATTATGAAAACTGCTAGCATGTTGTTTTTCTTGACAATCTTTGGGAGTTGTCATGGTAATGGCAGTTAGTTATTTTGGGTGGCAATTAACAGTGTTTATTATTGATGATATCAACCTTCCTGCCTGGTGTCACTGCATGGTAAATGACATCAGTCCTCCAACCCTCCTAATGTCATCAGTGGCAAGCTGACAAATGTTATGTAAGGCCAAACACAAAACAACTTGTGCTTCAGGTAGCATGGATTCCACAGATAATGGTCGGTAGCTAGGTGTTTTGCTTTTTTTTTAAATAAGAAAATATATGGCTTGTTTGAACTGATGTTGGTTGCAAAGTTCTTCAAATTTGGAGATCATCCGAATTGTTTTTCCAAATGTTACATAACTTTGGTTTCTTGACGGTTGTTTCCAGCTGTGATCAAAACATTAGCTAGTGAAAGAATGGGTGTGTTGGGGTATCTGAAACATAGGGGTTTTTCAGCCTGTCAAATGCTGATAGGTACATGTCCTCATTGTATGACTGAATGATTGAATCAATCAACTCATCATCATTGATGTTGACTTAATCCTACACAGGGATTTATCTAGACCTGCTCAGAAGTAGATTTCCAACCCAAAGTCTGCTGTAAATGACAGTAAAAAGTCCCAATTTGAATTTTTAAAAAATCCAATTACCTCAGAATTACCCAAAATAAGAACATTAAAAAATCCGATTTTGAACAATATCACATTTTTTGTTCAAATGTGCCTGCCAAAGGCACTTAGTTTGAAATCCTAGATAATTCTCTGCTATATATTTATTTTGCAACATTGTACTTTTTGAAAGGAATATGACATACAACAACATAATGGTCACTCTTAAACTGTTAGAAGTAGAGGTAGCCTTGTGGTGAAAGTGTTGGCCCATCCTGTAGCAAGTCTGGGGTTTCATTCCCCACATAGATTCAATATGTGAAGCCATTTCCTGGTGTCCACACGTATGGTGTGGTTGAAATATTTCTGTGAAAGCCTACTCACTTCTAAAATGGCTTTTCCATGGTATCTTGTAGTTTCCTTGTTTATATATTCTTACATGTTTATAAAATAACTTTTCCCCCTCCTTTCCCCACTCAAAATGAAAAATGAATTACCTATATTTTGTATATATGAGGTAAATAAAACCTTTAACCATCATCCCAGCAACCTACTTCAACACTCTTTGAATTTAAGGACACGATTGCTTCCCACCACAGATAGAGTCGTCAAACAGCGACATCTTGAGTTGACACGATGAAACCTATAATTTGTCCCAATCTTTTTGTCAACTTGTGTCACAAAGGTCGCACTCTCGTCAACAAAGAAAGGGGCCGGAGCCCAGTTCTCCTCATCACTGACATAAAAGCTAAATAATGATGGCTCACCGATCGGCCTGTCATGGGAGATTCAGACCCTCTTTAGTGTGAAACTATCTACCGACCATCGATGCTAAAGGGAGATAATTGGTATTGTCCACCTTCACAAGGTATTGTGTGGAAGCAGAGAATTGTAGGACCCACTCGCGAGTTAAAGAGCGCTTTGAGAGCACTAGTTTGCAACTAAGTTGCTTCAGATATTAAGGGCTGGGTTTTATGCCGGAGTCGCGTGATAGTTTTCCATAAGTCAACTGGTCGCCAGCCGTGCATGGTATTTGTTTAGCCGTTTAGGATGGAGTGTAAAAACAGAATACCTTCTCTCTTTCTAAAGTGAGCTTTTCAGCCAGCAGAAAGTCATTGTGTAAAGTAATGCGTGTAGTAATAGCATGGCGAAGTGCTCAAAATGATAAGTTTCCCGCGAGCTCCCGAGACAAGCTTGCGACATTATAATGCAACTCAGGCGATAATATCATTTGGCACGAGTGGAAATAATAACGTAGAGAGCTCGTATTCTAACATGTAGAAAGCTCGGTGATTTACGACGATTCCTCTTATTGTTTTAATGTTTGACTTTAATCAAGGAATGATTAGGGTTTCGACATTGTCTATCAATGCCCAGTGTTGACGTTTCTCAACACACATATAATTCTCCTGCTAACGTGAGTAATTTTGCAATAATGGACAGAATTCATGCTAAGTTGTTTGCAGTTCTTCTAACGCAGTGCGCCATTCCTCATTCCACTCCAACTTTGATGATATGATTTTTGCTCCAAAACATCAGTTCCCTTGTCATGTTTGTCAAAGTTCAAATACAGATAAAATAGATTCTGAATTAAACGGATTAATCGTATTTGTGTTGTGTCATGGCTGACATTCGTCATGTAGGAATTATTTTCTTTTCTGTTCGAGATTTATTTTTCATGTAATAGGCAAGTTTTGGACCTCATTACGTGCTGCGGGAAATCAATACAGTTACACTGAAATATCCTGTTTGAATACTACCCGCGGCATCTACATTTCATTAAAGAATGATTTAGTGAACAAATTGGACAGATTTCACAGTACACACTCGCCTCTTTGCTAAAATTTTCAAGCCATTTTGTTCACTTGAATTAATTTGCAGAGGAAACAGTTGCTATGATAACACACTGATCAAATAAATAGAGAAATTAAAATTTATCTTGGCCATTAATCTTCAACAAATGTGTTTTGGCCTTGTACACCTACTCCTGATAGGATGCAAATTTGCAAAGCCTTTGTCTAATTTTTTATGAGATATTTAGGCATTGGCTGGGCTTTTTACTGTTGGTAACATTTAAACAGGTTGTTGACTCATTCTAATTGGTATTGGTGAAGTGACAATCAGGTCTTGGTTCCATGTTTGATGGGGGAAAGTGATGGATGTCCACTGTGGTGTATACAGGGCCCCTACAGACTGGCACTTGAATGGATAAAGTGTTTAGTTTGGGGCTGGGCAGGTAAAGGGCTTATATCCAGGCTGGGCAGATAAAGGGCTTACATCCAGGAATAATTCCAAGTCTGAACATATTAGAAACTTTGTAAATCTGAAGAAAATGATTAGCCATTTGAAAATGTCATGTGCCTTGAGTAAATGACTTTTATTTGGAACAAGTCATTTCAAAGAAATTAAGAAATTAGATTGATTTTCCCCAGAAATGGAATAACTACGGAGGATTCATTCCACACAATTAATATCTTTAATTCACGTGCCATTTAGTGTGGATGTATCTCTGTTTGAAAATCAGTGTTTGGAATACCCCGCCCCCTGATGACCCCCAGATAAGAGTAAAGGTGCTGGTCCCCAGGACTTTAACAAACCAAAAATGGAACTGTCCAGAGTAACAAAGTTCCGATGTATTAGATGACCTCTCCACTTGTTTTGAAAATGGATTATTTTTATGATTTTGTTAATTATCTTAATATCTATGAGGATAAAAACAAATATTGCTCATGAGAAAAAACTAATACACTGTCTCAAGTTTCAAGTTGTTCATTCCAGTAATGACGATAATCATGTCCTTAATAGCATTATTAACGAGTCTGTATTTCTGTATAATAAATTGTCTGAATTCTGACAAGGGGTCCTGCCTCAGGACATGAAACATTGTGTGATATTTGAGTCACGATGATATACATACCTCCATACTTTAATTTGCATTGTTTTTTGGTGAAATTCCCTCTGTTTCTCCTGGCCAGCCAACAGGAGGTTGTTTCCATAGAAAGACCATGCTGTGTGATGATTGGTTAATTTAGGCTTGTTCTAATAGTATTATCCAATCAAATGTTGCATTATGTTTCTTGATGGGTGGTAGTTATTTTATATGTTATTTGTGCCCACTATTCAGCCATTTTTGCATGTATCATTGTTATCCCTTGTCTCGAAGTGGGAAGAGAATACAGGAATGGGTGCTGCCATCTGTCTTGGGGTGAGACGTGCCTGCGTGCATGTACTAGTCCGGCCTAATGCCGATTTTATGGTTCTAGCCCATTGAGATACCATACCACAGTTTACCATAAATACCCCACTCAAACACAACATAAGGACTGCGGGCTGACCACTTCTTGTTTCAGCATCTTACCGAGCACCAGGCAGGATAACAACAAATACCATATTTTATTTACACTGTCTTTTGGTATGATGCGGCCAGGGATCTAACCCCGGACCTTATGCTCTTTGAGCGGAGACTCTCATATACCACCAGACCATAGAGGCGGTCCCATCTGTCTTGACATTCATCATGTTTTGTTTCCAGACGATGTTAAGCAGAGTAATGTGTGTGTGTTTTAAGTTTTGACCATGCTGTTGTTATTTTGTATGAGACAATTTTGCTGTTTGTTGCATGGAAACATTAATTTATGTTTTAATACTCTTGTTGACCCTATTTTTATGCTCTTCAAGACTTAGGTTGCAAATATTCAGCAAACATTCAGGTGAGCTTCATAGCCATGTTGCTGTGTATTTATTGCTCTGCTTGTTACAGTTCCTATGTCAACAGTCCCTATGTCAACACTAGCATCTACTGAAAATGATGCCACGAGAAAAGTTTGGCCTTGAAAACTGTTTGGCTAAAGCTAGTACACATGTATAACTCTTAGTCATGACCCACTGCTTCATCAGTGAGCACTTCTAATCCTACCCATTTCCATGTTACAGATGTGTTCCATGGAAGCAATGAGACACTGAGTACAAGTTCCGGATCCAGTGGATGCCCTCTACCTCCTCGAGGACTCACAGAAACTGGACTGGACATGTTTCCAGGAGGGGGTTCCGGGTCACCGGACCTTCTTGGCTGACCAGTGATCACTCATCTTCTGTCTGGAGGCTGCCCACTTGGCTACAACTACTGTGTTTTTCAGACTTGCTATAGGATCTGTCTTGTGAGCCACATGATTTAAGTATTAGGCTACATTGGTAGAAATAAGTGGTCCTAGAGTCATTAAGGTTTTTGGCTTCTTTTTTTTTTATCTAGACCAAATCGCTATGTGACTATTGCCAATGTGATGTAAGATTTGTGCCACCGAATGGAGGGATGCCTTTAGTCTTTAATGTTGAAAATTTAAAGTGTAAGTTGAAGTGTCCTTGTCATATCCAATGTTACAAATTAAAGATATAGGAGGTCCACAGATACAAATACAAAAGTCTCAAGGATCCAAAGATCCACTTAATTGTAAATACTTATGTGGTCAAGTCATGGTTTTGACTGAGAACCCTCACCTTCCTGCTCTGTTTCCAACACTGGTTCATAATCAACATAGATGCTTCATTACTTTAGTGGGTTTATGAAGATAGAAGTGTTGATAAGGTATGACTGACCTTGAATCATGCATAGCTCATGGCTGGGTGATCACTTGATGCCATCTTGTTGCAGTCTGAAGCCTCAATCCAGTAAAAGTCTGTTTGGTCTGTTTAGCTCAGCTAATAATTAGTAGTCCATATTACATCACTTAAATCTACTGAAAATAAGGTTAAGAGATTGTTCCGGCTAGTAGCCTCAAGTCTTTGGTACAGACTGGTGTTGGTGCTTGTATGATGGTCAGCGTATAAGGTATCCTTGAGAACAGACTGGTGTTGGTGCTTGTATGATGGTCAGCGTATAAGGTATCCTTGAGAACAGACTGGTGTTGGTGCTTGTATGATGGTCAGCGTATAGGGTATCCTTGAGAGGTCAGTGATCTGGGCCTTCTGGCTGTAAGTTGTTTCTAAGACAAATCTGGCTGCACAGACTTTAAGCTGGTTCATCCCCATGCTCCAGCTCTATACCTATTATATATCGTGGCCTTTTCTGAAATCTATACTTGTACAAAATTACACATTAATACATCAATAACATGCAAGCAGTCATTTGAATTTCAAGACTTTTATAAATCAAGATTACTGCAAGTACCTTAAGATCAATATCTGGAAAATAAACAAACTATTCTGACTGATGTTGTAATCAGTTGTAACTGACCCATTTCCAACACTAATATTGCTGTTACTTTGCATATAGTTTACTTCGATCACTTCATTGGTGGTGAATAAAAGACAGGCTTGTCTGATTCGAAAGACCTTTAGTCTTGGAGTGCCGTTACAAGGAGACTTCATTGAAGTAGAAAGGATCAGATGTGCATTTAAGATACAGTGAAACATTTTTAGGTGTGGATGATACTGGTGCTGTTTTTTTCTTAATGTTAGTGAGGGGACACGGGTGGCCCACTGGTTTAAGGCACTGCAGTTATTTGGCCAGAAACCTATGATTGTGGGTTTGCATCCTGGTTCGCCCCGATTTTGTTTCAATGTTGTCAGCACCATACCCATGTTTGTTGATTTGACCAAAGTGGGATGTGCATCACTTCGGACTTTCCTCCCACATTCCCACATTAAGCTGACACTTTGTAATATAACTGTTCCAAGCGGCTTAAACTCACTCACTCACTCACTCACTCACTCACTCACTCACTCACTCACTCACTCACTCACTCACTCACTCACTCACTCACTCACTCACTCACCCACTCACTCACTCACTCACTCACTCACTCACTCACTCACCAATGATTTGTTAATCTAGACATTAGTTTGTACAGACTATTTCATTGGGAATGATAGCTCCAGGTACATTAGTAGGTTTCTGTAGGAATGGGGGTAACTCTTTGACTTGTCATTCAAAGTAACACAAAAAATAAGGATTTTCTTTTTCATTACTTTTCATTTATATATTATATTTGTGTAATTTGTTATTTTTAATTTAATCACAAACCCTGTAGTTTTAAAGAAAAAGATAACAAAGTTACTATGAAAAAGGACAAAAACAAAACAAAATCCCAGAAGCCTCAGAAAATCAATGTACAAATTGTCAAGAAAATGGCCACATCTCTTCTGCTTACAAAAGCCTGCATTGATTTGTACTGAAGCTGCCTGATTTAGGTGGAACCGATTTACTCTGTAGATTCCTACTATGAAATGCTGAGTGATACTCTACCCTATTGGCAAAGATAATCATAAATATGGCAGGCAGTGGAGTACTTTTAAGACCCACTGAAATAGATACATATACTGATGCCTGCTTTGATCAAAACTAGCAATACTTTCTGATAAGCCAGCGCTTTGTGTATGCCTCAACCGGCAGCTCTATCTACACATCCAAACAAGGTAACAATCATAAAACATTTATGACCAGCCCATCCTTAGCCTTCGCAACCATTTCTATAACACATCTACAATCATGAGTATCTACATTTTTGATGGCGTCTTTAAAATCCGTTATGACAAGGACAATTAAACGGCAAAAATCACTTAAACTGACAGACCTAATGCAGAAACTGAGATAAGTCATAAATATTGAATTTAATGACAATCACGGAAAGAAATATGATGGGTAAAAGGCCCATCATGCTCTTGACAGGTACATTCAGATGAACGTTTTCTTCTCCGAATTGGTGACATAGCTCTCCTAACACATCGCTCCCTCAACCGATGACATCCCATCTGTTGTATTATTCAGAAATAGACGTCAGTTCAATTGCGCTGTGCTTATCATAGTGGCATTTATTTTCCAGTATTGCTATTTGAAATGCAACATTCTCATATCTTAGGGCTGATTGAAAGGTCAGTACAGGTAGAAAAAATGATTTACTGATGTAAAGTCTTTGATACTTTTTCTTTTATAGTACTGGAGGAATTGGCTGTTATGGTCTTGAGAATTGAAATTAACATCGTTTATTTCAAAATGATTTGTGTCAATTTCATTGAAATTGATGACTATGGGGAGTTTGGTTGGGGAATGAGTGATTCTGTTACTTTATGATCATTTAGCTCTCTAACTGAACTTGTGAAGAAATACCCTGGACCTGTCAAGAGCCAATAAAATAACCAAATATGTATGTAGGAATATAGTTTCATATTTTACATGCCAATATATGGTTTGATAATGATTATGATATCTGCTGAATATTTTTTTGTGAGGTGAATCATCCAGGTACTTCTGGCTATTCTTATCTGATTTCAAATGAAGATATTACTAACTTCCTCCTGACCCAGAAGCTGATGTAGGTCATATGCAGAGGAATGAAGATCTGATGTATGTAATAGTTTCAACTGATAGATGGAGACGAAAAATTTTGGGTACTTCTCCTAAAGCTGTATCATTTGGATTTAATAAGTGACTTACACATTGGATGTGGAACACTTTATCTATTTTATTGTTTGTATAAAAGGTTTCTTCTTTTATGATAGTAAACCTTAATGCTCAATAATCTGTGTAAAAAATATTTTATACAGTTATGTATTAAGATGTGATCCAGGATGTTAGGCCGTTATGATTGATCTATCTTCATCCTGCTTATATTCTTTGGTTTGCAGAAATTCGACTGACCAATAGTCCTTATCCGGGTCTGTGAGATCTTTGTGGTTCTAAATGTTGCATATCACTTGACACAGGATATGCTATCAGACAAGAGACATCGCAACCTGTCCACACTCCTATTTCTCGGTCTGGGTCCTGCCATCAATTTTTGTGTGTGTTTTGTTTCCAGAGTTTAACTCAAAGACTATACCAAGCAGAGTAAAGCTTTTTTGTGTGTGTTTTAAATTTCGAACCTGCTATGGCTATTTTGAATGAGATTGTCTTTCTGTTTGATTGTATTAAAACAGTTTATTTAATTGAGGGATGAAGACTTGGAATACTTATCAAGATGTCACCGTGATACATGGAACTTTATATATATGTATATGTATCAGTCGACTAAGTTTAACAGTAGCCATTTTGTTGTCTTCTTGTGTGTCCTCAGTCACGTGAGCCCAGAAACACAGTATTAGTGTGGGACTGGTTTGGTTGGTTTGTTGTTTAACGCCGCACTCAGCAATATTCCAGCTATATGACGGCGGTCTGTAAATAATGGAGTCTGGACCAGACAATCCAGTGATTGACATCATGAGCATCGATCCACGCAATTGGGATCGATGACATGCATCAACCAAGTCAGCAAGCCTGACCACCCGATCCCGTTAGTCGCCTTTTATGGCAAGCATGGGTGGCTGAAGACCTATTCTACCCCGGATCTTCACGGGTTGGAAGGTCAAATATATAATATTATGCAGCTCAATATTTTTATGTGTATCTTTGCATGGAATTATTTGGGTCAGTTGATTTGGTGAAAAACTAAAAGCTGAAACTGTGGAAAGTGCAGGATGTAAGTAGTTTTATAGGAAAATGAGGTGAGAAGACATGTTCACTGTATATGAGACGTCATACTGTACATTTCATCAATTATTGCATAAAAAGTTAATAGTTATTTTAATATTGTGTAATTTTTGTCGTAGCTTATATTTTTTCAATCTATGTAACATTGAGAAATTAGGCAAATACAAGTAAAATCAAATTATTTTAATTATATTTTTGATTGTGGCTTAGTCTCTAGTTGAAATTGCAAACTGAAATGCAAAGTGTTGCCTAACTATTTATGCATTGCAATTGTCCGTGGGCCAGTGGTGACACAGGATGGGTGGTGACAGGTTGGGGTATCATCATGTCACTTGGTCTTCCTTTCCTTTGGTCCAGTAAGCTTAGCTGATGTAAATCATATGGTAACAGTAAACAATGAAAATAATGTCATGTGTCAAATTTCAGGGTAGTTGTCGAAAATGTTTGGACACTGACAGAACTATGCATAGATGACACAGGAAACTATAGACATTTTCAATAAGATGTAATACGATGAAAAACATCTGTTTCAGAACCACCACTTTACTTTCATTTTTAATCAGAACAGTTTTATAAGAAACTAGATTATACTCTTCCTGTATCTAGAAATCTACTGTACCTGGAAAATGATGGACATTTTCATGCTTCAACCCTATCAAATACAGCCAGAACGTCTGCATAGTACTTATATACTCAGCACATTGTCAGTGTCATTGCGGTAGTGTCCCAATTGTTGGTAGCTGTTGCTATACTATTGCAGTAGTTAAGATGCCCCCAGCTCCCCCCAGCGCATGTCATCGCTATGAGGTACTGCTCTACCTTTGTTGGAGATATGTACTCAACCGTAAAGGATCCAAGTATACTAACACAGGATCCAGGTGAGTGAGTGAGTGAGTGTGTGTGTGAGTGAGTGTAATTGTTGTCTAATGCCTTAACAATTTTGCAGTTCTTTGTAGCGAACAGGATGCAGGTGAGTGTCTGAGTGAGCGAGTGAGTGAGTGTAATTGTTGTCTAATGCCTTAACAATCTTGCAGTTCTTTGTAGCGAACAGGATCCATGTGAGTGAGTGAGTGAGTGAGTGTTGCAGGAGTTGGTGGAAATCAGGAATCAGTATGAGCATTCATACCAGATTCAATTGTGAGAATTCCTTGAAGGTAGGGCACATGCTTGATCAGATTCAACTGTGCACTATTGATATTTGGATGCCAATCTGCAGAAAGCTACTGGCAGACAAATGTCAGCATGATCAAAATGTCACAAATGTCTGGTCATCTATAACAAGCATTATGGCAGAGAACATACACTGATTGGTCTCTGTTTATGATTTTGATGATGAATGTTATGTTGTGTTGGCAAAAGTTAAGGATCAGCCACTGGTTCTACTGATCATACATGCAGGGCAGTGGTTGATGTACAGTCTAAAGATGAGATGTTTCAGAATGATCACCATGTCTTTCAGGAGCATTTACAAAGTGATAGAAACAACAACTAGAAAAACTTAACCTAACCCCAAACCAAACACTGAAACTCTAACCCTCACCTCAAACCCCAATTTCATTAAAATCAAATCTTAGTTCTCGCTACTGCTTAACAAAGATCTTAGGACATCCCAGGTGACTTTAAATTTTGACCAATGAAATGACTGACAAGAAGTCAATATTAGCCAATCAGAAGGCAGCTTTCTCATGCATTACGGAACTAGTTTCAAACTGGGGACTACACTTTGAAACATATTTTGACAAATTCTCGGTGAGAAATTTGAAAATGGAGCAAACAAATATTTTGGAGTGGCTAATAGATGGCCTGGAATGTATGGATTCAGTCATAAAGCTCTTAACTGTTGTTTCGAATACCATGTGTTAAATATATTGAGGCTGCAGGATCAGAAATCACTTTCCGACTCTCACTTTCATGATCTGGTCAACAATGCTCTGATTGGTCGGATGAAATGTCGTTCTGACATGACCCATAAAGGGATTTCCTCAGATCTTAGATTAGTGGTAGCGAGAACTAAGATCTGATTTAATGAGATTGCTCAAAATCCGACCTTAGCCCTACCATATAGCCAACTCCAAACTGTAACCACTATCCTGAACACAAGCCCTGACCCAAACCCTGTCCTTAACCCAAACTCTAGTCCTACCTCAATGCTCAACCCCAAACCCTAGACTCAAGATACACCTGACAATCATGACATCTGTTCACAAGACCAACCTGAATACTGGTCCCTAAACCCCTAATATAGTTCCCATATCAGACCCTTACCCCAAACTTGAATCCTGTTGCTTATTATGATTTCAAATCTATGTGTCAGAGAGTGAGTGTTCTGTGTTTCAACTCAGCTCTTTCTGTATTTGAGGACGAGTGTGAGAAGTCCTGCTTGAAGGATTGTGTTACCAACTACTTGAGTGTTTTCTACTCAGGCCATAAAAACAAATGTTTCTCATCAGAATGATCAGGTGACCAGGGCTCACTTCTACAAAGTGATCCTAGAGCTATGACTGTCACAAGTCAAAGGTAAAGTGTGGCACCTACGATCTTCTTATGCAATCCCTTTGTGTAACAGGGCCCTAGATTTATTTTTTTTCATTTCCCCAAACCCCTCCTAATCTTGGAATATTATAATGAAGAACTAAATACTTCAATCAAATTCTGGTTTTTATAACCATGGCAGAAACATTTAGGTAAGGAAAATAACTCTTTCATTAAAATTTGGTTGGTTGGTTGGTTGGTTTGTTGTTTAACGCTGCACTCAGATATATTCCAGCTATATGATGGCCATCTATAAATAATTGAGTCTGGACCAGACAGTGATTGATATCATGAGCATCAATCCACACAATTGGGATCGATGACATGCATCAACCAAGTTAGCAAGCCTGACGACCCGATCCTGTTAGTCGCCTCTTATGACAAACATAGTCGCCTGTTAGGGCAAGCATGGGTTGCTGAAGACCTATTCTTCCCTGGATCTTCATGGCTCCATTAAAATTTGGACAGTTCAGGCAGACTGATATCAAACTGGATTTATTGTTCTGAAAATGTTTGGATTGACCCATACAATGGTGAGGACATTTTTATCAATATTGTTATGACGTATATGTTTTATTGATGGGTATTATCGTTTAAAATGGTCCTTTGGTCCTTCAAGTAATCAATATTGCTTGATAAAAATTGTAAATATCTTGGCGAACTTCTGTGATGATCTTTGTTATGTAACAAGCAATGTTTACATTTTTGTTTTGCATGTTTACATATTTTAATGATGTGAATATCTAAGTGTTGTAGCTGATGTTGATGACTCTGTGTTATGCCATTCCCATTCCGATCAGTGAATTTGAGTTGCGTTAGTGGGACGTCGACATGACATAAAAATGTGTTTTACTATATTCTTATTGTACATAGACCTTGTGGCATATATGTATTGAAGAATTGCTTCATGTAGACATAGTTTTAGCTTGATTTAACATTAATTAATCAGAAATATAATTGTAAAATTGCTGATTCAGCATTTAGCACTATCAATTAACTTTGTACTACTTACAGAGTATAGTTATACATTCCTCATGCCTTTCACATGGAGAAGCCTAGCAGTTAGTGTGTTTGCTCCTTAGTGTAGAGTCAGGTTTGTTGCTTGAAGTGTATAGAATCTACTCCGAAAGTTGGGCAAAGTAGGATAGCCTCCCTTGGTCTGTGGTGCAACATCTGGCTATGCAGTTACATCCCTAAGCTGCACCAGGATCTGATGACCAATTTTGATCCTTGGTCTATCAGCACTATACCCTTGAAGGTAGCTTTTACTTTTCACGGAAGTTGTAAATATCTACAACCTGTGTCACTATTGGCTGTCCTCCAACACCAAGCTTACACGCCCTGATATAACTGAAATACTGTTTGAAGTGTGCTAAACTCAACTTACTCACTCATTCTATGTTGCGACTACTTACACCTTCACATGGACCAAGGGAATGATTAAGATACAACATTAAATAATTTCTACTTTCTAAGTATGTATAAACTTGGTGCAAGGTCGGCATATGAAACGAGAGAATGGCTAGTCACTGCTTTCCCCGTCCCTGAAATTATTTTGCCTTTAGTATTGATCAATGGGTCATTTGCAGATTAAAAACACTTAGCAGGAAAATATATTTGTATGAGAAATTGGTGTTTATTTATTGAACCTTTCTACCTGGCTATTGTACAAACGGGTATACCCTGATATTTGGCCATGTTTGTGTAATGCTCTTCATGAATTTCAGCTCACTATTCTTGTAAAAATGTGAATTTGTTGTGCTTTCTTAGACCAAGGCACTAAATTGTATATACTGTTTGTGAAATAAACCACTTTTCAGATAGTGTTTGTTGAAACTGTTCCTTCCAGCTTTAGTTTTTGGGCTAAAATAAGTGTCTGCTTAAGAAAATTAAAGTATAAATATATTGTATTTCCAGGACAAGGTCCAAGTCCTGTACCATGACAATCTTCACCTTCCTTCTGCACTGTTGCTGTCAACATCCAATGTAATCAGTTTGAATCAAGAACTTGCACACAGCAGTAAAAGCAAAATGACTCGAAATTCTTCTTCTACCAACCATTTTCACATATTTTAGTGACACCATTAGACAGTTTCTTCAGATTTTTTCAAATTTATGTTTCGTCATATACTGAGTGTCAGAAAAATCCTTCTCATACCTTGTATGTTTAGTTAGTTTGTTGTTTAATGCCACACGCATACCATGACATG